GTCTTGGAAAGCACCTCTTGGAGGTGAGTGGGAAGGTTGGGACAGCTTTGCATGGTGCCCCTGAGAGCCGGTGGGAGCATCAGGCCTGCTGGCAGGCGGAAGAGGAGGTGTGGAGAGGAGAAGCCCCCGGGGGAAGCTGCATTGTTGTAACAGAGCTGCGGGGGAAGTTGTGTGCAGTTAGTAGCTCAGCCTAGATAACCCTAAAGTGAGGAGCATGGCCCTACCCTGTATTTACCAGGGACACAAAATCTGAAGGCTTAATCCTGGGTTTTTTCCTGACTCTGAGATGGTGGCATGGGAAAGGTTCAGTTTAACAATTGCGTCAAGATGTGGAATATTGATCCCCTTACTGTACTGATTCCTTAGAGACAGGCAGAGGCCTCACTTCTGTGGGCAGGGAGTTGGCAGCGAGCTGAATACTAACTAGCAACTTTCATCTCCGTTAAAGGCTGTGGTGACTAAAGCGGCATTGTGTGACTGTGTGCAGGGGTCACGGAGGGGAAGAGTTAAATTCTGAATTGGTTCTGGTCTCTCCTGGGTCAGAACCAAGGCTGAGCTCACAGCAGAGATAGAGTCACAGATGACCTGGAGAGTGTCTGTCGGGGCTGGGCTGTGCAGGGGCCTTCCTGGACCTCCTCTCTGCCTTGTGTGAATTCCCGCTGTGGTTTAAGTGCACCTCTGCCCACTGCTGCTCTGCAAACCCGCCGCCCATCAGGTGCTTCTGACATGTTCAGGCTGCTGGGTCAGGCAACAGAGCATGCACCTCTTTTTGGGAGACTCCAGGTACTATACAAGATACAATGACTCCTGTTTTTTGTGTAGGACTGGTTGACATGACTCCACGTAACTGAACAGAAGCAGCATGCTTAAGCACAGGACACAAATACCCAGCACACAAGGGAAGATCCACACACAATTGTGTCATTTTATTATGTTTGCCTGGACTCTGGCCGGGCATGGCTGTGGTTTGGAAGGCCACTGTGCCCTGGGTGCAGAAAGCCCGATGAAGCAGAGCGTGCACAAAGTGACCAGCTCAGAAGCTCTCTGGCTACAGGTAACAGTAGTAGCACACTGCACTTGCAATGGTGCACTTTGATGCAAAGTGGTGTTTGAGTACAGATGTGCTGGCAGCCCTGGAAGGGAAGACAGAGGGACACACAAATGTAAGTGCCTATCTTTCTAGGCAACACCAGCTCTATTAAGGGGAAGCTCTTCTGAGAGGACTAACTAGCAGGGACAGGCTTGGCTCAGGGAAGCTTAGGTGTCTTTGTTCAGGATGGTGGCTCGCAGCCCTGGGTGGTATCAAGAGGCACTAGTGGGAGTGCGTATGAAGTGCTGTCTTGTCAGCGAGCATATGGAGTGGAGGCAGACGTGTACTTTTTGCAGACACTGTTAGTAGGCAGGAAGAACTGCGATCAAGTGGGGCTAACAACAGCTTTCTGCGTGAAGATTATCTCCTGCCTGCAAAGAGTCATACTGGATGACCAGGGTGCTGGTTGGATTAAGCATGCAGAAGCAGGAAGGGGTAGATGAGTGTGTTTTCTTTTATTCCTGGACCCCCTCCCCAGTTTGCTTCTAACCCATTTCCCCGAGTCCTTGTTGTTCTCTCCCAGCAATTACTCTCAGCTGCTGTCGGTCTGAGGGAGCCAAATGAAGCCCCAGGGTTGGACACCAGAGAGGTATCAGTTCCCAACTCCTTGCTTGATAAATGGATGCTGAGAACAGTGTAAGAAAAAAGGATCCAATCCCTCTTGCTTTGCATTAGCACTAAAAATTAAACTAATAGCACTTGGCAGCCAAGCTAGGGCTCCTGTGTGGTCAGCAATGACATCTATTGTTTATGAATGGGAGAAGCAGTTGGTGACAGAGATATGACAGGGCTCTAGGTTTCCCTGGTATCTTCTCAGACACAAGGTCTATGCTTTTCTTTCTTCCTTTTTTCCACTCTAACTTCCAGAAAATATGCCCAAAATACCCCTTAAAGTTAAGAGGTGCCCAAGTCTAGGAAGCAGGCGGGAGGGGGTGTCTAGCTCGGGCTGGGTGCTAGAAGTTAGTGGCTCAGGAGAGAAGAAAGATCTGCAGGATTTTTGGGTGATCTCACGTCTGATGGAGAACATCAGTGCAAGCGGCGAGGCCGAGTCTCCCGTGGTGCATTCACAAATCTATTCACGTTCTTTGCGTAGTCCTCCGGAGGAAAGATGGATGGTGGCCCCTGGCATCTTGCAGGCGCATTCATAGGCAGAAGGGTGGTATGCTCTACAGCCCGGAAGCAGCACCATGCAGAAACCATCCAAAGGCCATGGGATGCCCTGAGGGAAGTCAGCTCCAGCATGCAGGCTCCGGTGCAGCGTGGCTATGGCTCCACGGTCACGCTGCTGTTGGTAACACGTACGCCATACCACCCCTTCCAGAATAGTGTGTCCTGGCCACCGTGTTCAAAGCGGACGAAGCGGACCCCAGGCCCATAGTTGGAAAAAGTGTGGGAGATCTTTGGGATGAGAGACAAAATGGTTGTTGGCAAGCATCAAACCACCATGACCCTACCCTTCTTTGGTGCAGAAAGCCTTCGACCCCACCTGCCCAAGTCGTACCTACCAGGTCAGGTAACAATGAGGACATTTGCTAGTGGGAGTTACTAGGAGATTTGATCCCACTGTTGTTCAGAGACCACTGAACCTCTCTGAGTTGGGCATCTCCTTTATCTTACACCTGCAGTGGTGGCTCAGCAAGTTTCCAAGTTTTCTGGAAGGTAGCCTCCCAGTATAATCCTTTTGTTCAATCACAGGGTCATGGCTCCACACAATGCATGAGTCTTCTCTTCCAGGAGAAACTCCCCTGCTTCTCTCTGCTTGAAAATATTCCCAATTCATGCAGGCTGGGTGTCACCTGCTGAGCCCACAGCTGTAACTCACCTCAGTCCAGCTGGCATCGTTGTCCTGTGGGATGGCAACAGTCTCACTTTTGTACTCAGCCAGAACATCCTCATTTTCCGAGAGCAGCTTCACGCAGAGCTCGTAGAGGCAGCCAGCGTCACTGCGTCCTGCATACCTGCAAGGAGATCCAAGCCACTAGCCTTACCCGTGTGAGCCCTGCAAAGAGCCGGAGCACACAACTGTGTCTTGCTGAACGCTGGCTCTACCGATCTCATCAAGTTACCGGGGCCTTGGTTTGAGGTGGAAATCTGTAGCGGTTCTTACCCCAGCCCGGCTCCTCCCCTCATGCACAACTGGAACCTGGTCTTTAGAGGCCGCACACACTGACAGTTTGAAGCTTGTGAGAGCTGCCTGTGGTGCTGAAAGCCAAGACTCAGCCCAGTCCCACATCTGGGGGATCCTGGCAGCTGAGGTTTTAAGGCCCAGTGCAGGTATGTGCCCTCCCTGCCCTTCCTCTCTCTTGACTCTCTGCCTGCCTTCCAAGGCAGCCTGGTTACTTACCAGTCTTTTACCACAACTTTAGGCTGGGTTGTATCCATCAGCTCTTCCCAGTAGCCCTCAGCTCTAAGGTCAATGACCTGAGCCTTTCGACACCACCTGGAATGCAAGATGTTAATTGGCATCACAGTCTCTCCTGGGACTGGGGGAACCAAAAATGTCCCCTTTCCTGAATAAGAGAAGAAAGCAGCCTTACTCATAAGATGTAACAAAGTATTTATGGACTTCTTCACTAGGGAATTCTTTTCCAAAGTCCCCAGGGAGCTCTTCAATTTTCCAGCCATCACCTCCATGCTCTACCTCTCCCCAGTGCTGCAAGTCTTCTGCAAAGGGCAGAAAAGAGACTCGGATGAGTCTTAGTTTCTGTGGGCCTGAGGAACGTGACCATCTCCCACTGGAACCTTTCTCTGGCTTTTGAAAGGTGTGCTGTTAGCTGCAGCACTAATTTTGTATGTAGACTATGGAGATTTTTGTGAGGTAGAGGTCAGGCAGAAATCTTTAGTCTGTCTGAATTTAATATTAACAAACTTTAACATTCCCCACCAAAATGGCTATGTACATGTGGGTTTATTAAAGAAAGTACTCCAGTGAAATTATTTAGGTATTCTGAACTGTGTGTCAGCACTTCCAGTGTTATGACATGGGAATAGCCTGGGGAGAGATGCCAGTTGCTTTATTTCTGAATTTTCTAAATTGCTAAGTGGTATTTCTAGAAGCAGTGTGGCCTTAAACACTGGAATTTTCTGGTCTTAGCCAGAGGGAACCTAGATTTTGGGAAAGCTTGCAGAAAAATAATCTGTAAACAAAATGGAGAAGTTGTGTTGATACTGCTTTGGTCTGTGATGTGTGAAATGTATTTGTTCCTGCTTGGGTTGTAAGGCTCGGTTACTGCTGCTTATTGCTAAGCATCTCGTAGATCTGCCAAGCGAAGTTCATAGATTATCAGAATAATGGCAAATGGGGTATGTAGAGCTCTAACATGGGCTGTAGTAAGGAGGGTACACACAGGATTTGTCTGAGTTGCTTCAAGGAGGGAAGCCTGAAGTGCCTGGTGAGCCAAGTGCAGACTAACTCATGACTGGGGAAAGGCTTGATCTTTACTATGATGGTTTGGCAAGAAGCAATCTAGAAATGCAGATGCCACTACCATTACTGCATTGGACAGGGGTTCTGCAAGGCACATTTTTGTCTCAAACGTGATTCAGATCCCTGCAGGGGCTTATATAAAGTTGATGTCAAGTAGAGCCCTGTGCAAAGGCTGATTATCAAAGGTCTTCATGCCCATTAAATGATTTGACAGCGTGCATTAAGTAATTTGACTCTTAGGCAAGAAGAAAATGCTGCAACCTGATAGCAACTAAGATCTTTTTTCAAAGACTGGAGAGGCCCAATTCTCAGTGACTGGTCATGTCTGTGAACTATTGGTGCTTGTTATGCTTGTCTCACCTTCACCACACGGGTTCTTGATGAGATTCTTCCTTTTCTTACTCAGGAAGTAGAAGTTTTGCCAGTTCTCTGCATTCTCCTGTGACTCTGCTCCAGTGAGGCCTTCCTGCTGACACTTCAGGATCCAAAGCGCAGCTCCATCAACCAGGTTCTTCCACTGGCAGCAGACCAGGCGACACGCCAGCACCAAATCCACCGCAGGTATGGAAGCCAGGATTCTGATCAGAACTGCTTCAGGGAGGGACTCCATCCTTGGGCCAGGCTGGATGGAGCTTTCTGAGAAAGAAGGGGGAAAGGAGTGGTGACACAGTGGTCCTTCAGACACAGAGTCCCCCACCCTCAGTGACATCAAACACTGATGCATGAGAAAAAAAGGAGAAATAAGCATGTGATCTGAAAGCATGATTTTGGGGGCATAGATTGCTTCCTAACCTCAAGGCCTCCTGACCTTAAATTAATACCCTGAAGCACATGAGCAGATTAATATTTGATGTTCTAAGTGAAGCCCTTAGTTACGTTCATCCACAAAATGCAAGCAGTTGATGTCTGCAGTTGTGGACAGTTTGCTCCTCTCCCAGATGGGAATCAGACCTTCCAGAAATTTCTGCTGCTGCAAAATCAGCTTCTTAGTAATGATTTCCTCTGCAGGGGGAGGCATTTGGGTGTTTGTTCTGCTTTTAAGAACATCACTGATAACAAATGCTGCAGAACAGTCCCTAAATATCAGTGGTGAGCATCTCACCAACTGCATTTGCAGTGGTGCGTTCTGTATCTGAAAGGCTTTCCCTCAAGGGGCTGGCACTTAATCTCCTTAGTCATGAGCCTGTATAAAGTATAGGTCTGAGCATAACTGAAAATAACTCAGTTGATATTCTCTAATATTGCTTTTTGTATGGCCTTATAACCTGAGCAATTAAGTCAGAAGTGCATGCTTTAACTTGATATGCTAATTCTGCCAGCACTCTGACTCCCAACAGCTCTCTGCTGCCCTGAGTTCTAGCGCTGGGACCTGCAGGAATAAGGAAGGGTGAGAGTGCAGGTTCAGAGCCCGTGTCATCAGTGTGGGCTGCACTGTGACACTGCTTTTATCTTGGCTGAGTCCTTATGCTGGGAAGCTGCCGAGACTGCAGGGAATGGAATAGATGCAGCCAAACTCCTGAGGAGTGAATCATTAAGGCTAGGAGAGCACTAGGAACAAAACAGGTGAAATATCCTGACATGCTACTTGATGAAATATGGCAAGGGAGGGAAGAAATAGGGAGTCAGTGCTGTAACAGCATCCTAAATCTAGACGTTCCAGATGCAGAGCTATCACGTGTCCGCTATCTGCACTGCAGGCAGCAGGAGGAAACTGTCATTTAAAATTCCCTGGCTGTTATGGGAGTAGTTTCCCTTTCCCCCCCACACACACACCTTTCCGACCCTCAACCACAGTCCTGAAGGGTAAAATGTGACTTTTTTTCCTTCTTTTTTTTTTTTTTTTTTTTTTTTTTCATGTTTGTGTTTGTTTTAAAAAAGAGAGCTCCTGCTGTTTCACCTCCTGCAGGGGTTTCCCAGGCCTCGCCTGCTCTCTGCCTGCATCACCCCTCCACAGAGCATCCCCCCTCTGCATTGCGGGGATGTCCCAGCACCCCGGTCAGGGTGAAGGCCCCTGGCTGATCTTCCCTTTCCCACTCCCGCACGATCCTAAAACCGCTCCTGCCACCGGCAGACCCCTCGCGGGGTGTAATTCCACCCCTTGCCGTGCTCGGCTTCCCCATCCGCCCCCCGCCCCGCTCCTCCCCGCCGGGCTGGGGGGGGGGGGGGGGGTCCCGGCCCCGCACCCCTCCCGGCAGGACCGGCCTTACCTCGGGCGCTGCTGGGCGGGCGGCCGGGGCGGGGCCGGCCCGGGCTCCCCTGATAAAGCACCGCGGCCCCGCTCGGCGCCGCCCCCGCCGCCCGCCCCGCCCCGCCCCGCCCGCCCCGCCCCGCCCGCCGCGGAAGGGCCGCGGCCAACTCACTCACATCCGTGTCCGGCGGGCGCAGGCGGGCGGAGCCCAGGTGGGGCCGGGGGGGGCGGATCGAGCCGGCCCGGTGCTGCCGGGGGAGGCCGGGGGTGGGTGGGGGGTGGCGGCTCCGTCCCCCTCCCGGGGGAGCTCGGCGGTTGCTGTAGTTCTGTTGGGAACTAAACCCCCCCCCTCTGCTTGTTTCCCGAAGCTCTGTGGTGCCGGTGCACCCGGGAAGGGGGGGCGGGTATTTCCATCGCGGACTCCTCCAGCCCGTCTCTGTGATGACAACCATCTGCGACCTCCCCGAGGATGTGCTGGTGGAGCTGCTGTCGCTGCTGCCAGCCCGGGACCTGATCCGCAGCTGCAGGCTGGTCTGCGCCCAGTGGCGGTACGTGGTGGATCTGACCACCCTGTGGAAACGCAAGTGCCAGCGCAAGGGGTTTTACGTTCAGAATTTGGACAGAAGCATCTCAGACTGGAAGATCTTCTATCTGCTCTGCAGCCTGAAGAGGAACTTAATCAAAAACTCCTGTGCGGAAGGTTTGTTTAATTATTTATAGTAGAGGACTAAGAGTTTCCTAACAGTCGGAATGAGTCAGTGTCCTCCATTACTCACGTACTGCTGGTGCTGTGGGGCAGTCCAGCTACTGATGGATCTCTGCTGGCTCAGATCCACAAGAAAGCATATGCAGTTAAAACTACTGTGGATAGTAAATAAAGCGTTGGTAAATACTTATCTGTGGTTGTGACTAGAAAAATCAAGTCACTGAGGCCCCGGCACTGCAGACAGTGACGATTAATTTACACAAGCAAGTACAATATGGTCATGTAACTATCAGGTATTGGGATTAAATGTTCAGGTAGCTGAGGAATTCTTGTTGTCAAAGACTTGACTAAGATGACTATAGTAATTCTACTTTATTACTGCTTATGAGTCTCTGATGTGGTCAGAAAGTTGCTACCTCTTGTCGTAGCTGTTGACAGCGACATTGAAAGTAATGGCAACATAAAGACAGGAGTCATTTCCGGCTGTAGGAAAAGTACAGTGTTTCTGAAGAACTCGAAGTACTTTCCTAGTATTCTTCTGTAGCTGATTCTTTAACAAAAACAGAGATACTGCTGGAAACTAAAGTGAGGTCCTAACACTCAGCTTTGATACCTGTGTTTTTAGAGAACTTTCAGCACTGGAAACTTGATAATAATGATGGAGATAAATGGAAGATCGAGGATATGCCTGGACCTCATGGAAAAGACATGCCAAACCCCAGAGTACACAAATACTTTGTCACTTCATATGGGTAAGAAATGGATTCCAGTAATCTGGAGCTGGGACACCTACTTCCTCCTGTCTCTCTGCAAAGGCACTGCAGTTAGAAGGCTTGAGACACATCACTGGACCTTACCCCATGTGTAGGAAAAGGAAGGAGCTTAATTAACCTTTTATACTAGTTGGTCTAAAGAGGCAGGTGTACAGCTGAGAAAATTAATTGCAGCATGTGCTAAATTTCTCTGTCCTAACCAGTAACTTTTTTATGGTCACGATAATCCACATGGGATCTCCGTTTCTGTTCTACCAAAAGTGTTGGGCAAAGGTTAAGCTTTGACAAGCTAATCAGGTGCACTTACCTGACAAGGTCAATGCTCTGTAACTTCCAGGAGTGGTAGGTGTGTTTGTCACGTTAACAACTTGCAATAAAAGCTCTCAGCAGAGGAGGAATAGCTGCTTTTACATTAAGCAGTTGTTTCCTGTTACCACTAAATGCTATACTAGCGCAGGGACCCCCTTTAATCCATCTTGTAGGTAACTATTCCTTTTATTTGGGACTGAATCAGTTTGCTTCCTTGTCTAGTTCTGGCTATGGAAAAAGACATGCCTTAGCCATGTCAGCCTTGTGTGCCTTCAAGGTCTGGGTGGGCTGTTGGTAAGAGTAAAGCTGTCAGGCAAAGTGTGGACCTTGAGAGGGGAGAGGTGTGTTTTGTGAATATTTCTATTGCTGTTGCAGGCCATGCTTCAAGTCTCAACTCATTACCCTGCAGAAAGAAGGATACTGGAATCAGTTGATGGATGAGAAACGGCCTGAAATTGTAGTTAGGGACTGGTAAGTGTATGTACTGAAAACTAGGATTTCTGGCATTGGCCTAGAGATCAGCTGCTAGGCTTCTGAAGCCTTTCATGATGTAAAATTAGTTCTTCAACCTTTGAGAGTTGTAGCTCTTGCGTAAAGCATAAGCTAAATATAAGTTTATTCAAGGGACCGTAAAGAGGTGGCAATCCTCTGAAGAACAGGATAGCTGGAAGTTTTAGAACTTCTTCACAGCTGTGGGGATAACACTCCTTTTCCTCTGCAAATGGGGATCCTCTTGGAGACTAGTTTTAAGCACTAAAGGAAACAAAGCTGTACATACAACCCTGTTCCTTGCTTGTTCCCTGCCCCCCTAGGTATGCTGCCAGATTTGACTGTGGGTGTCGCTATGAGCTTACAGTGAGGCTGCTTTCTGAAGACTACATTGTCCTTGACGAGTTCCACCCCGAGCCCGTGGTTATAGAGCAGTGGAATGATGCAAGGTGGAGAGAGGTAAGCAGCAGCCCTGGGGGCAGCATCTTTACAGCAGTAGTGTGACGCTTGAATCTTGCAAGTCTTACTTGGCCAAAAGTCCCAGGTGTGGATCTTTCAAAGGTAAGTCAGCCCTTTCTGTTGACAATGCTGAAGCAGGAGTGCCGTGAGAGTGCTGGGTTTGGCTTGTAGGTGGGCTTCTGTATTATTTTAGCTCAGTTTCTTTGTTTCTGGTTTTCACTTAAGCTTTTGTCTAAGTTACAAGAGCAGTTATTGTATCAAAAAACTATTGCATGAATGTAATTTAAGGTATTGCAGACATTAAACTGCTAAACGTGTTTAACTGGTTTGATTGGCTGTAGATTCCCCACTATGTTGCTGCTTACATGACAAATGTACCTAAGAATCAAGCTTAATGTTACATTTGACTTGGAGAGGATTTCAGGGCAGAAGGCTGAATGAGAGGCTTTTTTCCCTGTCCCTCAAAAAGGGGGGTACGAGGCACTTTGAATGAAAGGTTATCTTAGAATGAGCTTTTCCTGAGACCACGACTTGCATACTGTAGTTGTCAGTGCTGGTTATTCAGGCACATTAAGAGGAATTTTATTCTTTCTCTGTAGATTTCTTACACCTTCCAGAATTACCCACCTGGAGTTCGTTACATCTGGTTTCAGCATGGAGGCCAAGACACTCAATTCTGGGCAGGATGGTATGGGGTCCGAGTGACTAACAGCAGCATCACCGTGGGGCCCCTGACATGTGTATGAAGGCACAACAGAAGTGTTTGCTTTTACCTCAGGACTGTAACCGGGTGGTCTCAGGTGCACTTACTTGTCTGTATTCTCTGGATGAGTGTCCTAGCTTTGTCTTGCACAGTTGATCTCAAATACAAGCAGCTAGTTCTTGTTCGCAGCAGAACTTCTGCAGACCCACCCCCGTGGAAGGACTTCTGTCTTCATCTTTCATCTTCCTCTACCATGGATGTTACTGCAATTACTAGTGCCCTTCCCCAGGAGAAAGACTAGGGCAATTAAATGTTTCTTTTCTAGTTAATATGTCCTTGTGCTACAGCCAAACACCAAGTCTTATATAGAAACCTTTTCTTGTTTATGGAACTTATGAGAGATAAGGCTAAAATGTCTAATTTCAGATTATCAATGCTGTCCTCAAGGGCCTTGCTACAGAGAGACTTGTTTTGTATGCTTTTTTTTCTGTTTCAGTTTAGTTATGTATGAAGACATGTATCTTTCACATCAGACCTTCCATAGCATAAGGAAAGTGTCAACCCTTTTTTGTGAATGCTGTGTCACTGGTTCTCAATTCCTTACCCTTTCTGTAAGTGTATATGATCAAAATGGTACATGCCTTCCCTCTCCAACTACAGCCCATCATTGTTTGAATAAACAGCAAGAGAAAGAGAAGATAGAAATCCCTTAAGGTGGCTACCTTATAAGTGCCTTTTGATTGTGCTGGGATTTTTCCATACAGCTTTTGTACTACTACAGTACTTGGTTTGTACTGAACAGTTTAACCCTATATAAAATGTTAAAGCAGTGCAAAACCTTGATCTATAGTATTCTTGCACTTTTTACTTGGAGGAAACAGGGAGGTGCTATACTGGCTGTCTTGTCAAATTGTCTGGTCACCAAGCTCAGCTCCACTACTACGAACCATGTCTTCTACCCCTGTGCAAAAGGAGATTAAAGAAGGCCTGAGTATTGGCTCTTTGCTAGGTGGAGGATTAACAGTGCTTCCCTTGTCTGTTCTGTTAAGAGTAGGACATTTGGCAAGTGTCCTTGCTGGACAAACCACTTCCACCTTGCTAATGCTACTGGTGGGTGAAAGCTCTCCCATGGAGAGCAAAGAGACCAAGTTGCATAGCCTCTCACAGGAATTGACAGATTCCACCTATGTTCCAGAAAAGGTATGGAAAAGTGGGGGAAGCTCCACGCAAAAGACTTCCTCACTTCGGGGGAAGGCTGGTTTAGACAGAACTCGGCTTAGTTCAACTGGGGTAAAACTGAGTATTTATTGACGACTACTTGGGACAGTCACAGTGGACAGACACTACGTAAGGCCTCACTCACCCTCAGTAGGAGTCCGTTGCTCCTGTGGAGCACACACCAGAGCGCTGTGTATCGCTCCCAGTATGCAAAGGCGACGCCCTATTAAGGTGAGAACTGGATTTGTACAAAGCAGTGACTGCATACTGCAGTTGCCTATATCCTGCCCCCAGGGATTCACCGTAACAAAACCTATACTCACTCTCACACATGAGTGTACATGGGAACAGGCTCTGGCTCCACATTCCAAGTCAGTTCTATGTACAGCGGTAAGAGCACTTGAAATAGAGAGGCAGCAGCTGCTCTACATTCACCCAGAATGCCAGCTGAAGAGATGGTTATCAAGGTATGGTTTGTGAGATAACTTATTCCACTGGAAGATCAGATGAAGCTAGAAGGCCAGGAAGATTTGAAATCAGGTGCCTTTGTGGGCTCGCTCTTCTACATATAGCTGCATCTGGAGGGGAGAAACAAGCACCAGTTCCACTTGATATGCAGGTAGATGAATGGAAAGAAAAGTCTGCAACAGACTAAAGAGGAAGAGTTTGTACCTCCCCCCATAAGCAGGTTTCCTATTTTATTAGTAGGAGTCTTGCCCTGGTTTGATTACTGGCACAGGCATCTGCCAGACTAAGCTACTGCTCAGCAGTATTAAAATTGTTACCCTACAGAAAACTGCAGAGCTGGCATCAGAGTAGAGAACACTTAGGCCTAGATGCAGTTTCGGCTGCCTCTTGGGCCAGAATGCTTTGCTCACCTTTAAGATATCAGATGTCATGGTTTTCAGGGGAATAAGCCGGGGGTCATGCATGTGCACGTCTTGTTCATCAGCGAGGATCCATGGGAAATCCTAGGGGCAGGAACACAAGGTGCTTTATTTGCAGAGAGGCTGGCAGACAGTAAGGTGAGCTCTCTTTCTTCACACTAGATCAGTATTAAGTGAATGAGATCTAGTGGCTGAGGGAAAGAACAAGTAACTCAAACCTTTCCCAACAGCAGAACTTAACAGTTGCACACTTGGTCCTGAGTCTCGGCGTGTTTATCTTCACTTACAGCATCAAACTATAACATTAACCCAATTTACTTATTCCAAAGGTGACATCTCACTTCTTTAAAAGATGCACTCCTGGCTGTCCTGAGCTAGCATGTTCTATTCATTATATCAGCATTTAACTGCAACTCCAAAACACTCAGGGCATGGATTTCTGTCCTGCCTTGCAAGTTTAAAGGTTGGCCTATTGTACCACCCATTTCCAATGCTAAGCAATACGGAGCAGACTTCCACTTTGAAACAATTTTATACTTTACCAGTTTTACTTATGGTGCCTTAAGACACCCAGAAAAACTTGGCTTGGGGGAAAAATAGTTTCCCTGTACCTAAGCAAGGATTCTTTAAAAAAAAAATCTTGCTTTGAAAAGTGATCTGCACGCACTACTGCAACATAATGTATTTGTGCACCCAAAACCCACTAGTTATTTGAATCTTAGTCTTCCTTGCTACTTAAAAAGAATCAGCCATCCACACCTAATGGATGTGGGACATGGGTAGGGTTTTTTGTTGTTGCTGATTAAATTCAGATACGTATTTCTATGTTAGTCACTTAAAAGCACTCTGAGTAAGCATTATGCAGTAAGTGTTGTTACAATCTAATTCGTGCATTGAAGCAGCTACTGTCTGCAATTGCGGCTGGTGTGTGGTGAATGTGCTCAGTCACCTCATCACTGTGAACCATTTTAATGCGTTTAGAGCGAAGTTGGGAAGTGCATCATGTGAAGCTAACGTACCTGTTCAAAATATCTAGCGGCCTTAACTTTAGAGATGCCAAAACACTGCAGTTCCCAGCTCTGCAGCTTGCTTACACGCAATCAGGCAGCCAAAGATATCACTCACCTTTATCACCTGGATCTTCTCCATGTTCCGTGTGGCAGCCTCCCGTGTGTGAACCAGAACTGTGAAGGTGCAACCTGTAAGAGGAAGGGTAGGCGCCGGCTCAGGGGACAGCTAACAGGGTCGGGCACTGCCAGGCTGTTGGGCTGTACGGCTGCGCTTACCCGGGGGGTTGTTGTCCAGCACAGCATCGCACACGCTGATCTTCAGGATGAAGGCACGCAGTAACTGCTCCACGTGGGACAGCAGGGACTCCGAACTGTTGAGGAGATAGTTGTTACTGGCATGCAGCAAAGTGATGGGGCCTGGAGCTGCTTCCAGAACCCCTCTGCAGAGGCAGGTGTTGGATGCCAGGGGCAAACAGCGATGGAAACTTTACCTGATGGAAAGAAGTGGTGGCTGGGTGATCTCAAAAACAAATCTCTCCACGGGGTGGTGCTCTTTATCCAGGATTACAACTACGACTTTCTCCACATCATTCTGCAAGAACAAAGTTCAAAAAATCCCTTCCTTAAAACAAGCTGTGTTCTGCCCCCAACGTGCTTCACGTACTTCTCAAAGTGGGAGTATGCTCACTTGTGGCTCACAGCACTAGCAGCTACCCAAAGCTTGAGCACTGTCAGATTATTCTTACTGATCAGAAGAAATACTTTTGCAAAGCCATTCCTTGCTAGACATTTAACTGATAGCTTATGGCTAAGGCCTAGGGAAATGGTACATCTCCCTCGATACTCTTGGAACAAAGGAGAAAATGTACAAAGAGCCATCTCCTTGCATCACTCAGGAATGGACAATGCTGAGGAAGGCAAGGTATGCTTAGACCGTTGGCCAAATATAGCAGTTTTGCACTACTACAATGTAAACCTGACCTATTTCCATTCTCTGAATGTGCATTAAGGCTGTCTGTAAACAGCAGAGAAGGCAGAATCTGCCAGTCCACTACGTCCTGAGGTGTTTCATACGGTCACACCTTTCTCTTACAAAACCTAGAGTTCAAACCTACCTTTGCTTGCTGGCTTACAGCAAAGCATTCAAACTGTTCTTCCAGATAAGTGCTTAAACTTGAATGTATTCAAAAGCAGAACATTAAGTTAACATGTAGGATGACATAACTGAAAATATATAGATATATACCCTCATGTGCATATATTGGATGCAGCTAAATGACAGTGATGAGCAACAAGGCGGGGCCTTAACTGCAAGGAAAGGTTAGGGATGTTATTTTTATTTTTGTTAGAAGCTTAATCAGCTAGTATATTGTATATGGTAAATTTTTAAATAAATTTTGCAATAAAGACAGTTACTTATTTCTCTTACTTTCTATCAAAACCACTTGCAGTACTTTTGCCCAGGTCCCTGATATGATCTTACCTTCTCAAGCAGTGGCTTTACACAGTGCAGTGTGTCCTGGATGTACTGATTCAGTTCCGGGTGGCAGGACATCTACAGCAAATACAGGAAATAGTCAGAGCTGAGTTCTGGTGTGAACCCAGACACTGCTAAAGGGGACGATTTAAACAGAAGCACCAGTGTGTTACAAGGCACTTGAGTCATGCTTCAGATAGCACTTTCCAACCACTAAGTTGCCAATTCAAACCAGTAATTCTTTCATGGAAGGGTCAATTAGCTGAGGCAGATCACTGTACCCACACAGTTGTAGTATATTGGGAACATATACCCACAATAGCATATTGGGAATAGTATATTCCAACCATCTCTACTTCCTAGGAAGCATGCTTTCATGTTACCTTACTGCACATAGCTGGGGAAGCCTTCTACTACTGTTGTCCATGATCTGCTTGTTCCATGAGTACTGCTGTATCCTCAGCTACAGGGTTGTTTCCCCTTTTGACAGGAACTAAGATCTCTTCAAAAATGAGTTTGCACAATAAAACAAACTCTGGAAGTGATTTAGTTTGTTCTGGTGAGTGTTGACTGATCCCCGCTATTTTGCTTGTCCACGTGGCTGTCAGCTTCCAGGAAAATCTCCTACCTGGACAGGTACATTGTATTTTTTCCTCTTCTGAAAGATCCCAATAGGGTAAACTTCTCTGACATACAAGATAAGATGAACAGCCACTTCCAGAAATTCTGAAAGAACATCTGCAACAACTGAAAACCAAAAATAAAGGATGCTGAAGTAGGGGGTGGGAAGCATGCAGAGCAATACCATATACTCAGAGGAATTTTTTTTTTTTTAAGGTATTTTTCCCTGCATAAATTTCACCTGCAGGAAGTTTAGGGATAGAGCAACCCTCCAACAACGCTCCCACAAGCCCATGTGCCAACAAGAAGCCTTGCAAGCACATCAGTTTGCAGCTTAGCACAACACCTTACCTTGCCCAAAATTTAGATCCTGCCGCGTGAGCGTGGTCATCTTTCCCAGAACCTGGAAGTAATCACAGAAATAATATTTATCCTCTGGCTCCTGTATTATTAACAGTCAGCTCATGGAGCCATCCACTTCCCTAGTGCTGCTGAGCTTGGACCCAAACTGTCCTCTGCACTTAGTCACAAGCATACGAACACCGTCGTGACAAATCCGCAGGGCCCACTGCGAGAGGTTTAAGCACCCTCGGTAACCAACAACACGTCATTCAAAATCACCAGTAGTGCAGAAACTGAAGACGGTATCATTGCTGTGGTCTGGCTCCCACCTCAGATTGATAGATTACTCGTCATTTAATTCTGGCTTTTTTTAATTGGGTTTTATTTAAATAAATAAATTAGTTTAAAACATGGTCTCCCTCCCTTTTTGATGCATTTTGTCAGGACTGGATAATTCACGATTCCTCAGGCACAAGAAAATTTAGACAGTCACTTTTTAGCAGCACAAGGAACAGTTTTTTTAAAAGCCACACAAGTGTTCTCATAACATACTAGAACATACCCCTTTTCTAACCCCTATATCCTCTTATAACACAAGAACTTCTCAGTTTTGTGGATTTCTTCTCGCAACACCACCATGAAACATTGCTTGTTCGGGCTAGGAGCTGCATCTTCCACTGACATTTCACACCACAGGTACTCATCTGCTGCCCACTCCCAGCAGCTTCAGTGTCTCTCTCCAGCCCCAAGCAAACCACTCCCTGCACAGCTGCATAATTAACACAGAATTTGTCACACAGAATAAGGGAGTATCTCAAGTTGGAAGGGACCCATAAGCATGAAGGAGTCCACCTCCCTGCTCCTCGCAGGACTACCTAAGAGTAAATCATATCACTGAGAGCATCATCCAGATGCTTCTTGAGCTCTGACGGGCTTGGGGCCATGACCGCTTCCCCGGGGAGCCTGGAAGTTCTGATAATCATAAAGGGCCGCACATCACTGTGCCAAACTGAACACCATGTGCCAACAACTGAACAGCAGACACTGGGGTTCAACTTTCCAACAGCTCTCCTGATACACTGGAGTCTGGGCCTTGTACATTTTAAGCTACAGTGTACATCATTTTCTATCACAAATATTAATTTGTTTCATTATCCATACTCTTTGCATGCATGCAAGCAAATTCTAACCACTAACAGCAGCACCACTGTTCATAAAGTGTGTATGTTTTTATATGCCCCCAGGACCACCGTGGCTCCATCAGTAACACAGGTGTCTTACACACACCTCTGGTAATTCAGTCATTCCAATCAGCTGTTTAGCCACTGATTTTCCAACTGCTTCAGCTGCAGCAAAATATGTTTTTCAGATCTACAAGGAATTACTTCAACCTTCACAAAACAGGGAGCTACCCTCCTCTCCCTTTTTAAGCCAGACTCTTACCATTGTATACAAAGACTTCCTGGAATATTAGTGATCTGCTACAATTAATAAAATTAAGATACTTAAGCATCTCTCTAGCATCCCAGATGCAGTGACTCTCAAATCTGTACAAAAGATCTGTGTCAGAGTAGCATAAAGAACCTGTTTTTAGAGGTTCACATCCTCACCTAAATAAACATCACCATTTCTTAACCAGAGGCCCCAGTGAGGCAGCAGCATCCCAAGGGATCCACCCTTCAACACAGGCACAGGGCCAGGCCTAACAATCACACATTTAATACTCCCTCAGCTTCAGGTTTTGGAGAAACTGATTGCAGCGATACCGCCGTTAAGAGCCCTTCACCTATTCCTTTGAATTTGCTGCCCTGGACCTATGAGGTTAGTTTCCAGAAGTCATCCCACCTCCCCTGCGCCACGGGATGGCTAGGGGAGGCAAGGAGGTGTAGGCATCAGGAAAAAGAAAGCCTGCACGTCCTTCGTGGTGCTTTTTGGAAGCTAGAAATCCCTTACTGAAGAAAAAGGGAAGGGAAGGAGGCAGGGCTACCCTCTGATTTGTACTCCATCACTCTCCAAGCGCCCGTGACTACCACAGGGGCTCCTGCACTAGCCCAGAGTAACCAGCCCTGCCACTCCCCGAGACAGGAGCCGGCAGCTGCCCCTTCACCGCCCGCACGCTGCTGCTGCTGCCCGGACGGACAGACAGACCGACCGCGGCCCTGGGGACGGGGCTGGTACCCCGGTCCCGCCGCTCCTCAGCGGCCAACCGCCTCCCGGGCTCCCACCGCCGCCGTCCCAGGGACCGCCACCGCCTCCCCCCACCCCAATAAGGACCCCCGGTGCCCGCTAACCCGCCCCCCCCGCCCCGCGGTGCCCCCCGCCCGCCCCGGCCCGGCCCCCGCTGACCGTGACCGCCGCACGCGCGAGTGGCCGGGCGGCGGCGCGGGCGTGTGACGTCAGAGCGGCGGGCGGCCCGAGCGCCCCCCGGCGGCGGGAGGAGCGCGGGGGGACGGTCCCCGCCGCTTGGTGCTCCCCGCCCACCCCCCCCCCCCCCCCCCCCCGACCCGCAGCTCCCCCCGTTGCAGCGAGGCTGGGTGCTCGGTGTCAGGGAGCGGGGGACGCTGCTCTCCCAGCCCGGTTACGGTAACGCGGGGGAAAGAGCCCCCGGGGGGTGCCGTGCCCCAGCTCGCCCCGCCGTGCCGGTGAGGGGGGGTCCGGCTGCTACCCCACCCCGCCCCGCCTTTGTCTGCGTCCTTTGTTTGCCCCGCTCCCTGCCCAGGGCTGGGCTGAGACCGCTCCTGCCACCAGCCCCGCGGGAACGCGCCCTCTGCGCTCCCGCATCCCTCCTCCTCCGCCCTCGCACCCGGCGCCCCTTGCATCCCCCCCCCACCCCCAGCACCCTCCTCACCCCTCCCTCCCCCGCCCAGCACCCCCCGAGCCCCTCCCAGCCCCACCTCCCCCCCGCACCATGCACCCCAGTCCCCCGGGATTCCCGGCGTCCCCAGTTTCTCTCCACATTCCCCCACTGCCTTCCCCCCTGTCTCCTCCTCCTCCTCGTCTTCCTCCTCCTCCTCCTCTCGGGTTTGAACACCCCCCCTGCCCCCCCGGCAGACCTGCCTCCCCTCCCGCTGCACGCACAGCCGCTGCCCTGCCCTGCCTGCCGGGCTCAGCCCACACCGAGGAGCTGCGGACAGGTAGGCAGCGCTGCCCATCGCGCTCACCTCGCACCCAGCCCGGGGCTACACGCTCCACCGAGCCGATTGCCCTTTTGCTTTCGCCGGGATTGGGGAGGAGCGGGGACGGGGAACCTTCCCACTTTCGGAGACAAAGGCCGGGGGGTGACGGGGATCCCCCCCTCCAGGCTGCTGCCGCCGCCGGGGCGCCCTCGGTGCGCGGGTGCCGGCGGCATCGCTCGGTGGCGGGAGCCGAGCACCGAGCTTGGCCGATGCCGGTGCGCCGTGCCTCCAGCCGTGCCTCCAGCCGTGCCTCCAGCCGTGCCTCCAGCCGTGCCTATTGTCAGCCGTGCCGGGGAGCGGGCTCCAGGCTCTGCCCTCAGTGCGATGTGCAGCGCCGTGCACCTTGCGGGGCTGTGCAGAGCCCCACCACCCCTACTACAAGTCCCTGCTACTTCAGGGGCTACTGCAAGGTCCCTCCGAGGCGGCTCTCCCTTCCCTGGGAGCAAAGTCGCCTCGGACGGAGGCACTGACCCTCTGGCAGGTGGCTGCTGAGCCCCGCATGGACCCCAGGGGTACAGCCTGGCTCTGAGCTCCTGGAAAAAGTGGCCGAGGGGTGAGGAAAGCTTTTTCCACCGAGTCATTGTGTTTGCAGAGCCATGCACCGAGCCCCTGAGCACCCATGCTCTGCTCTTCCTCTGTTGATAAAAGTGAGATCTCGTTTCTGAATTAAATCAATTTGGCATCAGTTAATTGCTTATTACAGCTAGTAATTCATCATGTAGGATTTAAGTGACATTTATCCAATTCACACCTGAAGTCTTCTGTCAGCCAGAGGGTTTAATGGAAATGGGTTTGTATTCCCATCTCCTTTCCCTTGCAGAAGGAGGCATTAATCCTACACGTTTTGGTTCAAAGTGAGAATGACATGCAAGGAAAAATGTTGAAAGCGCAGTCTAACTGTTCTGCCAGGCAGGACGCATCCACTTCTCCCCCCAGTGAAGATCAGGCTAAATCTGCCCCCATTCTTCCCTGTCACACTGGTGGGTGCTTTCCAGCTGGGTGAGCAATGACCTTTGCTATTGATTGTGTCTCATTTGTCACTAGGCATTGTGCCTTAAACTGGAGAGTTTTCTCTGCTGTGCTGACAGCAAGTGACTATATCTTGGATGCTAATCTCAGACTCATTGCTATTTTAATCTCATTATTGGGCAGAGTACACTCTGATAGCAGGTCGCCTATGATGGCTGTGTCAGCCACTCTGTGAAGCCCTGGAGGGAAGCAGAGCAGAGGGTACTGGATATTCATTCATGTGCCCCTCTTCCCTTTCAATACAGTGACTTGCTGGGCTGCTCTGTCCCTGGAGGATGTTGGTGCTGCACCCTCCTTGCTTGGGCACTGACGCTGAGAGCAGCGAAGCTCTCTGTGCAGGTCAGGGTAGGCACAGGAGAAAGGCTGGCATGGCTGTGGCTGAAGGTGAGAGGCATGTGGCGACTTGGAGGCTTTGCAAGGTGTCCCGTGTTCATCAGAGCCAAGGTGATGGAGCTTAGCAGGGACTTAGCGACGAGTACAAAACTGCCAAGCCTGGGCTGCAGGAGAAGGTATTTCCTGGGTTGTGCTGTGTGAGCACACCACTTCTGTCCTCAGCTGTTAGGAGGGCAGCGCACAGTCTGTCAGCCAGAGGCGACCGGTGAGGGGAAGGGATTGCCTGGGCCAATGGGTCAGCGAAAAGAGTCCCACTTCCAGCCCTTCAACTAATGTTGAGTGAGTCACATTTCAGGTGGTCACTGAATGTGAGTTGCCTCAGGGACATGCTTTGTGGAGGCACAGGGACAGCTACAACAACTATTCAACCCACTGCAAGCCTCAACCTCTATGTCCTGCCTCTTGTGCCACTAGTGCAATTAGTGTATTAGTGAATTTGGCCCTTTGTACAGTAGAGTGCTCTTTGGTGATGACAGAAAGTGAGAGAAAACAACACGAGCAAAGGAAAGCAGATATTTCAAAGGATGGGTGTGGGATTCAAGTAGCCTAGCCTAAACACCTGCAGGGGGGAAATCTCTCATGCCAAAACCAGTCATGAGGGACAAGGAGACTGTGGAGTCAGATAATATGAAAGGCAAGGTCAAGAGGAAATGTGGTGATGGATAAAGGAAACCTAAGATAGGAGTGCAGCTCTGAAGAGGGACCCAAAAGGACTAGAGATATGTGAGCAGGGAACACTGCTGCTCTGTCATCCCAAGGATGTCTGGGCCACCAGCAAAAGAAATTCTTTACAAAGAGAGTGTACAAGAAATGTTGGAGAGAAGGAAAATGTTACTACTTTTGCCCTGGGGAAGAAAAGAAAAGAGTGCATATAAGATTACCTGTCTACTTTTGGGGCCCCTGGAAAGCTGGGAGAGAGCCTTTTGAAATGGGAAGATCTGTTGGCAGATTGTTTATGAAGCTTCCCAGCATTTGCCTCCAGAAACAGAAAAACAGATGGAAAGAGACCCAGCAGGGAAGTAAAATCTCATTTATCTGCACAATGCCATCCTCCTGGCTCCAGCCAGCTCTCTGCGTGTCAGCTACCATCGAGCCTCCCCTGTCCATTCTGCTCCAGGCCTTCCCAAGCCCATCCATCACCCTATGGCTTCTTTTTTACAGGGAGCCTGGCACACGAAGCTGGGTTTATTGTCTATCATCCCTGCCACACATGCACATGCACACAACACCCATGCACATACACTTTGTCTATAGCTGCATCTTGAGATTGTCTGGAGTCCAGGAAATCTTTACACACGCCTACCGAAGTCTGAGCTTATCAGAGCCAAAGAGAAATCTGGCCCAGTGTACGTGCTTGGGGTCTAGCTTGGTTCAGCCCTTGAGGCAGACAAATGGCATCATTTGTAGTCTGGGGTGATAAAGGGTCTTGCTATTCTCTATTTCTCAGTTCAAGAATTTTGTTCCTCTTGGCTGTGACATGAAGAACATAGGTGAAAAGTTAAAGCTAGAACTGTCAGGTATCATGTTTTAAGTGAGATATATGAATGAACGTAGATGATCTGATGTTCCCGCTTTGTCAAATACAAACTAAATGTGGCAGGGTCAGTTTTAGAGCCTATTTCAGAGCCAAGGTGACATAACTGTATTTAGAGGGGGAAAACATGTCTGAGTTTCTGTGTACCTACGGGTCCCTGGCTGCCTTTCAGGATTACAAGCAGAGAGCAGAGTTACAGTAACAACAATTGCATCAGTGAGTCCAGAGACAGAGACTACCCTCAGGGAAAGTTACCCAAGGTTCAAAAAACCCTCTAATTTCCCTTATGGGATTGTGACCATCCACTACTAACCCAAAATGGATCAGAAATAGTGGCTGAGAGACAGCGCTGCAACTCGCTCATCAGCCCTGAGCCTACACCCTGGATAGTTCTGAAGCCTTATCTTTGCTTTACACATTTTCTTATTAGTAGGCAGATTTGCTACCTCAAGAGGCAGGTGATTTATAATCCTGAGGGTATATAAAGGAAGTGCAAGGCATTGGGGAGAGTAAGGAGGATGTGGGTCTGGTGTTGTGAAGAACTACAGGGGCACCTTAACTTGGCAAGTACTTCAGCTATTTCCTTTATTAATATACAAACCCTAAGAAGAAAATGAATTCTGGACTTGTTATAACATGTGTGTTTGTTTTAGAGCAATTTAGGAAAGGCATCTTACAAGGCCAGACTTCTTTCTGCCTCATATATGTCTTGGGGCAGAATTTCACCCTTAGCAGAAAAGGTGCATCAGCACTGTGAGAACGCCGCTGTCACCTACATCAAGAAGCCTGGGGCTAGCACAGTTGTCTTTTGTGGACTGTGGTCTTCACAGAGGGTGAAGTTTACTTTGGTGCTCAGCCATTGAGGAACCTGAGTACTGAGGAGGACTAGGGATGCCGTTGTGTTATCGGCCATTTGGAAGTGTACATTTTATGGCTTCTGCACGGTAATTAAAATAAAGGAGGTAGGAAGAGGTTTCTAAAGTTAAAGATAGATCAAGGCATAGAAACAAGTGGTTAAGAGAAGGCTGGGACTTCTGTACCTCTAGCACAGCAGTATTGCATTAACCCAAGGTATCAAAACTTGTCCATGCACTCTTTTGATTTGACAAACG